AAGGGGCCGCGGCCACCAGCCGGGCACGTGCCGGGCGAAGGGCGCCTGTCGGGTCAGCGGGATGTGCGCACGGCCCCGGCGGACAGCCCAGCGCGTTTCCTGCAGGTCCCAGCCCTCCCCTGGCAGCTAACCCCCGGTCGTGTCGCAGGCCGGGGTCACCAGGAGCCCGGGTCCCGCTGGCCTCGCCTCGGGTCTCCCCCAGGTGAGGCGACCGAAGGCATATCTGACACCAGAGGTAGGCAGGGGGTGCCCTTCCTCCCCGACAGCCTTCCTGCGCCCACAGCCCTCACTCACCCCGTCCCAGCACTCGGGCATCTTGCAGAGGGAGGTGACACGCCTGGCAAGGAAGGGCAAACGAGGCCTGGGTCCCCGGGGTCCGGAGGCGGCGGCAGCTCCGCGGAGGCAGCGGCTCTGCGCTGCGGCGCCGCCAGCGCCCTTTATACGCGCAGCCCGCCCGCCCTGGGCCGGCCCCCCGCGGGGCCCGAGCAGCCACTCGCCAGCCTGGAGCCCCGCTTCCAGATTGGCTGTCGGGAGGCAAACCTGAGTCCAATTGGCTTCTGAGGTCCTCGCTCGCCCAGCCCTTGTTCCTGTCTCACCCCCACCCTCCAGCAACGCATCACTGTGATGGTCCCCAGGCCCCGCACCCCCAGGCCTAGCAAACCAGGGCACCGCCACAGCTGCGGCTGGCTGCCCACGGGGCGCTGGGGAGACGGGACACTCGGCCACATGCCCAGCGGTGCCCCGCGTGGGGTCCACAGGAGCCTCTCCTGGACACCCGCACCAGTGCAGGGCAGGGTGGCCACACAGGCCTGCCCGAGACGGCACTGCCCTTGACCCATAGCCTGGGGGGCAGGGAGGGGGCCTGAGGGGGGCCCAAGCCCAGCCTCCACTTCAGAAAGGCCTGAATCACAACTTTGAGGGGACGTGGGGAGTCACTGCTGTCTTCTCCACCCCCCTCCCCCGTCCCCCAGGTCTCCCCTAGGGCAGCCCCCACTCTGCCCACCCTGTGCCTGTCCACACTGCTGAAAGGCAGGTTCTGGGGCCCGGGGGCCTGGGCAGATGGCTGACCGGGAGTCTGGGGGGGCACCCACCAGCTCTGCCCTCCTCACCCCCATCCTGCAGCAAGGACTACAGGCCACAAAGAAAAGGAGNGGGGGGCACCCACCAGCTCTGCCCTCCTCACCCCCATCCTGCAGCAAGGACTACAGGCCACGAAGGAAAGGAAGGGAAACATGCCCCTCCACACTCCTTTGCCCCCCACCCCCCAGACCCACGCAGCCTGCGGCCTGGCTCCCGGATCACTGGAGAGGACACAGGAGCCACCTAAGGTGCCATGCTCTGTTCTCCCGAGCAACAAGGCTTTGGGTGGGGAGCTGGCTAGAGACATGCAGGGAGAGAAAACGGAGGAGGGGGCGCAAAGGAGAGCAGAGGAGGAGAGGAAATAGGCCAGGGAGGGGGCAGAGCAGGGAGCGCAAGGACACAGGAGAGGGATCGAAGGAGAGAAAGGGAGGGGTGCTGGGCACCGTGCCCCCATTCTGTCTCTTTGGCGAAGGACCGTGCCACTCGCCCCAGCCTGCGCCGACAGCCCTGCACACTGGCCGGCTGCTCTGGGGGAAGGCAGTCACCTCCCCGTCTCTGGGTGCCTAGTGACCTGGTCATCACCTGCCACGTATGCTATTCCTGGCCCTGTCCTGTGCCTGGGGCGGGCACCAAGAACTTTCCCTGCCCCATCTCTGACCTCTCACTCTGGCGGCCTAGGGCAGAGTGCTGAGCCCTGTGCTTGCCCAGGGCGGCCAGGGTGTGGAACGGGTTGCCCCCC